TTGAGAAAAAAAATTACTTTTAGAAACAAGATTCAAGGCCTATTAAAGAATTTTTCTGAAATTTCAAGAAGTGCAAAGATAGAACATGAGTTCTTGAAGGAAGAAATTCAAGAAATGTATTCAAGAGTGAAAGATCAATATCTACACAAAATTAGGTGATATCTTTCTGATCTTTAAACTTGTTTCGTTTTGATTGGTGTATCTCTTGAGATAGGGTGTCTCAACAAGAGATTTTGAAATCTTGAGTAGGGTTTCTCAAGTAATTTCTGTAAGGTACTTAAATTTTGTTTGTTTTCAATCTTGGGGTGTCAAGATTGATGTTTGTTTGAATTCTTGTAATATTGTGTGTGCAAGGTGTTTGTAAACAATATTATAGTGAATGATCTTTGATTTAGTAGGGTAATAAATCAGGAAAAACTAGATGTAGGCCAAGTGGATGGGTGAACCAGTATAAATTTTTGAGTTCTTTATCTTCTTACCCTTATCTTTAAAGAATCTTGCTAATTTCTTATTTAAAGAATTTAAAGATTTCTGAGATATGAAATTTCAATTGTAGTACCAACTCTAATCTTTATTCTTGTAATTGAAATTGATTAAAAAGAAGGTAATATAAAATTAACCTTGGTTACAAGTGATTGTTTCGCTACATTAACTTTGATATTTTGATATATTAGTAATAAACCTTGTAATTTGTTGTTCTTTGTTAATACAAATTGAGTAAAGGTTGAATTTTAGATATCTTGATAGGTCTTTATCAAGAATTGGTCGAAAAAAGAGTCATCTTAAGATAGAATCTATTTAACCCCCCTTCTAGATTCTTGTAAACTAGGACCAACAATTGGTATCAAGAGCTTAGAATTTCAAAATTAGTCAAGTTAGATCCACTAATTCCTTAAGATGACTAGTAATCAATTACCATTTTTTGAAGGTGCCTCTATAAACATACCTCCTCTCTTTTGTGGGGATAATTACCCCTTCTGGAAAGTTAGAATGAAAATCCTTATGGAATATGTTCATAGAAGCATATGGCAGGTTGTGATTACTGAATACAAAACTCCTACTAAAACTAAAAATGGAAAAGAAGTAAAGAAACCTTTTGATAGCTAGGATCAGAATGAGATTAAAAGGGCTGAATATTTTAGAATTTCAGCTTGTACAACAATTAAAGAAGCATGGGTGTCGCAACTCGAAAATTTCCAATCTCACGACCTATGGTTTAGACATCCTTTTGAAAGTCTCATCAATTAAGGAATTTTTGAAGACCAGACTAATACTTAATCAATGGTTTTGAAAATAGGTTCTTAAGAGTCGCCACCAATGTTTTATTCAAAACATTGGAAAAAGAAAAGGTTTTTTAAAAGTCCAATAATGGCCTTGATAACCAGAATTGGATTCAGGGGTCGGTTACGTGTAGGTATTAAGCACCCCTACAACGCCCTTAATCGGTACCCTATGATGAAGTTAACGTGATAACAATTAATAAATTAAATATTGAATTTCCTTTATTAATATTTATTTACATATTTAAAATTTAAATTACACGACTAACCCTAAAATATCTACATGGTTGCATTTGTTAAAAATAAAAGATAGAGATAAAGATGAGAAATAAAAGATATAGAAGAAGATTGATTGAAATACCTCTTGAACGAGCTCTATTCAATCTTCAAATATGGAGAAGGTTCTTTATGGCAACCTTTCACACTACAATTAGCCTCACAAAACTCAAGAAATATAATAGGAGAGAAAAAGAGAGAAATTTCGAGCTCTAAGGAGTCTTGGACGAAATTTTATGGCCCTTGAGAACTGTGCCTGAGCTGTCTATTTATAGACATCAAAAAGTTTCCAGAACGGCCTGTTCCAAAATCGGAATGACCCATTTTGGATCTGACCATTCTGTGCTAATTTTGTAACTGGAACGACCTGTTCTGAAAGTAGAACGACCCGTTCCAGAGATAAGATTAACACATAATTGGCTAGGCTGGAATGGCCATTCCAAACAAGGGTTTTTAGGCTTTTTTCATAACTTGGAACGGCCTGTTCCAGTTAAGGTTTTAACCCTTTTTTTAGGAGCTTGGAACAACCCGTTCCAAACTAGGGTTTTAGGCCCTTTTAGGAACTTGGAACGGCCTGTTCCAAATTGGGAACGACTCGTTCTAATTTTGCAACAACCCGTTCCAGACTACTAAAACCAACTTGTTTGGGCTTTTAGGCCTTTTAATGTCCTGTCCTGTTGTTTGCATGCTTTGGGAGCTCCTTCCCTTCATAAAAAAATTCCATTTCGTTATTTGTATGCCCCCGGACGAAATTGGGTGTCTACAGATGCCCCTCTTTACTTGTCCTTTGGAATAGTAATGTGTTGCTTTTCCAAAGGCAAGTAAAGACATAGACATTTCATTTGGGTCTTCTCTTCGCCTCTTTGGTGTTGGCGCTTCTACATTGTTTCCCTTGGATAGGTGTATTTCCTCGTATCCTCACCCTTTTGAGCAGTCGCATACTCTATTAGGCAACAAGGCTGACAAACTGTACACCTAATCTTCAGTCTTTGAGTAGAAGCTCCATTGTTTCTCTTGTGATAATGTGTTCCTTTATTTGTAGCTTGTTAAAGAGGGAGTATATTCTAAGATCAGCCTCTCCAAGCTGGACTAACATTTAGGGCTTTAGCTGGCCCACTGGTGGGAGCTCGACGGCAGTCCCAATTTTGACTTTGAGGAACTCGGTGGTACCCTCGTTGTCATCCACTAATTTGAGAGGCTCGATGGCGGCTCTCAATCAAGCTAGACTGATTTTAAGGCTTCAGCCGACCTATGGTAGGAGCTCGACGGTAATCTCGATTTTGACTTCGAGGAACTCGGCGGTACCCTCACTGTCATTCTTGATCTGAGAGGCTCGACGGCGGCTCTTCAGTCAAGATGGACTGATTTTAAGGCTTTTGCCAGCCTATGGTGGGAGCTCGACAGCGGTCCCAATTTTGACTTTGAGGAACTCGACAATACCCTCACTGTCATTCTTGATCTAAGAGGCTCGACGACGGCTCTTCAATCAAGATGAGTATTGACGTCCTTTATAAAGGTGGACCTTGAACCTTTGATGGATGCTCGACGACGCTCTCTTTTACTTAAGGTACTCGACGGTGCCCTCGTGGTTGATCAATGATTTGAGAGGCTCAACGACAGCTCTCTACTTGGATGATTGTTGATGTCATTTGAAGGTTGGATGATTGTTGATGTCCTTTGAAGGAGGACCTTTGAAATCTTGGGTGGATACTCGACGGTGATCCTTCTTTGATTTGAGGTACCCGACAGTACCCTCATTGTTGACTTGTGATGGAAACTGCCCAAGGAGGATGGGTAGGATATACTCGATGTGCCCCTATGTTGGTGGGCAGAGAAAATAGATGAATGATAGGAATTCTAGTGTTGCCCCTGCCATGTGAGTATTGTGATGCCGATCTCATGGCCTAAACATTTAGAGCATAATAAATTTTTATTGGAAAAATTGCATAGGTCCACATTTTTATAAATGTGGTCTAAGCATATAACATGTATGACAACATTTAGAAAATCATAGCCTAAACGATTAGACAACACTTAAAGAGGTGTACTATAAAATATTGTGGTTGTTGCTTATTATATTTGGCCACATTCAAATATTCGTGGTCCTAAAAATATAGCCATGTAAAAAAAATGTGGTCTATCTCAATATTTAAGCTCACGAGTATTTTGTTTCTGTGGTTGAAAGCAAAAACCCGTTGCCTATTAGCAAATATCATAGCCACTTAAAGCGCGCTTGAAAAATCGTGGAGATTTTGTGGCTTAAACTTTAGCCCACAGTTTTTACACATCTAGCCACACTTTTTTTATCGTGGCCTAAATCCAAAAATGGTGTAGTCTAGTCGAAGCGTTATAGTCAATTGTGGTTGCTTCTTGTTCTTGTTAGAGGCTTCATACAATAACACATCTAAGGTCTAGCTAGATGACCATAGAGACCTCGTTGCATAGATTCACACCACCTCACCAAAGAAATAATATAATGAATGGACTCTATAAACAACAATACCACACTACAAAAAACACAATGGTCACCTCAATAACTTTGTCAAACCTTAGCCTAGACTTCTCCAAAAGATTCCAAGCCCTGCTTCGGTTTTATTAGAGCTATCAAAACGGGTAACCTGGCCCGACCCGACCCGTTCTACCACGGGTTGAGCATTTGGTGGGCCAACCCAACCCGGCTCATTTATTGATGAGCTCAAAAAAATTGAAACCGACCCGGCCCACCACGAGTTGGTGGATTAAATGAGTTGGCTCACCTAATTTAAAAAAAAATGTAAATTTTTTTTAATATAAATAAAACTTCAATCAAATGAAAATGATATCACTGAATAATGTGAAATTAAATAATATTTGTTTATGTATACAAGTTTATAAGGATTTCAAAGTTTTTATTTACTGAAAAATATTCAATATTTTTAGTAAAAAATCTTTTAGAAACTTTTTAAGAATGTATTCATATACACATTCAATACATATTTAAAAGTGATCGTTTAATTTAATTATGCCTGCTTTCTAAAAAGAGAAAATTATGTTGAATCCAAAAGATAGAAAGCTAGTGATAGAACGGTATTATAATGTTGAGCATAACATGCGAAGGTGTCAATCTCTGTATGACTAGACATATGGGTAATTAGATTTCAAAATAGCAGCAACCTTAATTTGGCCCAATAAGAGTAAATGTTTTTTTTACGGGTTGGTGGGTCAGCCCGACTTACCACAAGTTCAATCTGGGTAAGCCGGGTTGTTAGTGAGTCGGGTTCAAAATTGGTCCGTATTGAAATTTTTAATTTTTGGCAGATGATAAACACACCTTCACCCTCGTATAAACACACCCTCTTTTTAAAAAAATATATATAAAATGTCTAAATTACCCTTAAAAAAAATAAAATTCCTAAATTTACACCTCCCTTCCCTGCGCTCCATTCCCGCACCCCACACCCCACACCCCCTTCCCCGCACCCCCACAGCCCGAGCCGCCCAGAATAGCCACCCAAATTGCAATCTTTGTTTCTCTCTCTTCCCAGGCCTCTCTCTCTCTATCTCTCACACCAAAAATATCTATGAAAAATACATTTGCAATCCCAAACCATAGAGCATCGAGCGAGCGAGCGAATCCCATAAAAACAAGCACAGTAGCATCATCATCAATAAAGGGATGAACATGAACCAACCTCTTCCTTGGTGTTCTTGTTCTTGTTCTTCTCACTATTCCATCTCTCTCACTTTTCCCTTAAACACCCCCAAGCAATAAGTTAGAAGATAGAACCCTAGAGCGTTGAGACGACAGCACAGTAAATTTATCAGGAACAGGTAAGAAACAGTAACAGTAGAAGCATAGCAGTAGCAGTAGCATCACCATGTCCCTTGAAGAGTCGCTAAGATCTCTGCCGCTGGATTACCTGAACCTCCTCATCAACGGCCAGGCCTTCAGCGACGTCACTTTCAGCGTGGAGGGACGTCTGGTTCACGCGCACCGCTGCATACTGGCCGCGCGGAGCCTCTTCTTCAGGAAATTCTTCTGTGGGCCGGACCCACCCTCTGGCCTGGACCCCACCGGCCCAAGGATCAACTCGCGCTCCGGAGTCATACCCGTCAACTCCGTCGGCTCCGAGGTCTTCCTCCTCATGCTCCAGTTTCTCTACAGTGGCCTGGGGTGCGGGAGAACGGGGGGTGTGGGGTGCGGGAAGGAGGTGGGGAAGGTATGTAAATTTAGGAATTTTTATTTTTTTTAAGGGTAATTTAGATATTTTATATATTTTTTTTTAGAAAGGGGGTGTGTTTATATGAGAGTGGAGGTGTGTTTATCATCTGCCTTAATTTTTTCAGCCTAACCCGGCTCGAACCTGTGGTGGGTTGAGTTAGCTCACTAGGCTGAGCCCATTTTGACAGCTCTATATTTTATCATTGTCAAATCACAATTTAAACTTACATCTTTCATCACATCATCATGAAACATCCTCACTATAACGTTATTATCATAACATTATCATCATTAATTCATTATACATCATATTATTTATCATCATTATTATCATACACTTGACTTCACACACTTATAGTCTCTTCTTAGGTCATTCATTCTTTACTTGATTGGCTACAATTAATTATTTCTTATTCTCTTCTTTTAATTCTAATATTAGTTGTTTGAATTGATAATAATGTAACTAATCAATAAATTTAATTTAAAATTTAATTTGTATCATTATTTTTTTTAAGTTAATAACATTATATTTTTAATAAAATATCAAATCATTTATATCTATTATGTAATATTTATTTTTTTATTATAAATAAATAAATTCAATTTTATTGAATTAATTGACTTAATCTATAAATCCAATCCGTGATCAAATTGAATTGAATTAGATTTAAAAATAATGCAGAAATTTCACTCAAGATGAATTATAAATTCGACTCGCTTTCACCCATATATAGTATCACCTAAAGAGATGCTGAAGAACAAGACTTTCATTGTTTTTTCTCTACGTTGTGCACATGATTTTCCACGTCAATACTGAATTTATCAGTTATAATTTTTGTATTACAGACTTGAATTCATGGTAGGATCACGTATTAGATGTGTGTTCAAACACACTTTTAACAAAGATCATAGACAATTAATTATATAACTTGTATTAAAATTACCATGTTGTTACAACGAAGAAATATTATTGAGAGAGGCATTTGGCCCCTCAGCACAATTCAATCCGACTCAAATACTTATAAAATAGTTAACATAGTTGTATAATTAACAGATAAATATTTATGTTTGTCTAGTACAATCTTTACTAATATAAGTGTTAGATTATATATTATTAGACATATTTACTTCTCGTATAGAAAAGTGTCATTTTTTTATGATTTTTTTTATAAAAATATTTATATAATTTTTTTAAAAAGTTTATGATTTAAAAATTACATTTTATATTCTTAAAAATTCAAAACATCTATCTTTAAAAAAATATATAAA